TGGGAACAGAGGCTCCACCCTCCTCCCAAGACCAGAAGCCTTGAAGACACACCCACATCACAGGCTGACATGTGGGCAGAAAGCCCTGGGGGAAGGTGTAGTGGGGAGACCCTCCCATGACAGAGGAAGAGACTGGGGTCCAAGGGGCAGAAAACCCTAGGAAAGCTGCAAGTGGTCTCACTGGTCTGTGGACAGTGCCAGGTCCGTGCACAAGTATCCCTTCACAGGATGGCCTCCCTGGGCCTCTGCTCACAGCCCACTGCCTGCCCAGCATGGCAGCCCAGGTGAGGGCCCTGAGCCCCGCCCTGAGCCCCGCCGCCTTTGATGATGCCTGTGTGCTGTGCAGAGTGGCCTCTCCCAAGGAGCAGGTCCTACCAGTGCCAGGCATGGGAGGCCTGGTAGAGGCGCTATCCCAGTGACCTTCAGTGCGGACAGGATCCCTGGTCCCACAGGCTCTTCCCCTGACCACAAGCACAGGGCAGCTGAGAAGAGGTGGCCCAGGGCGGACACTCCCAGGCCAGGACGACCCCACGCCAATGCACATGGTTAACTCCACCCTCAGTGCAGCGAGCTGCCCATCCTACTGGCAGGAGGTCAGCAAAGCCCGACGGCTGGGTCTGGTATGGGCCTGCATGAGGTGGTTCAGTCACTCAGCAGATGGGCCTCAGAGTCGGCTGCAGCCCTGATGTGGGCTCCCCGAACCCAGGGGACCCATGGCCGTCTCCAGGTCCTGTTCACTGGGTGCTGCCCAAAAGCAGCCAGCTGGCCTGGTGGCCCAGGTGAGCACATGGCCCCTCCTTCCATTCCCTCCAGAACCTTAGGCCATCCAGACAAGGCCCTCCTCCCAAGGAGGCCCAGCCACAGGACTGCCAGTAGGATGAGGGCCTCATTTTGTGGGTAGAACACAGTACTCTGAGGAGCCAGGCCCCAGGGGGGTGCTGATCCAGGGTGCGCCCTGTAAACCCTCTGAAACCCTCTGCCAGGCCCCATCCCAGGCAGCCAGTCCCAGGGCCAGAAGGGGAGGATGACGTGTGGCCTGACGCGAGCTCATCGTGGCACAGTCCCGGAAGTCAGAGCCTGACCCAAGTCCCAGGGTCTGGGATCAGACTTTGCAAAGTTGCCCTCCCATTTTCTTGCCTTTTGGGTTTCTGGGGCACCTGCACTCCTGGGATCACGGTCCCTTCTAACGTGGCATCTGAGTGCTGCCTCTGGCGTCCACTTGGCAGAACCTCATGACTCTGCACCCATCAGAGGAGCAACTGCTGCCCCTCTGCTGTGTGAGGCCTGCACAGGCTCCAGGGATCAGAAGACGCCAGGACCGAGCCGATGGTGGACAAGTGCGACCACAGGCCTGGAAACTCAGCACGGCCAACGAGAGGCTCCCTTCCTCGCCCCAGCAGAGGATCTCCTCACAGCGACAGAGAGCGGAAGGAGGGGAACCCTACCTGTCCAGGAAGGGTCATGGGCTTCGCCTTCAGAAGCAGAGGGTGGGGATGGCGAAGGCAGCCACCTGGCCCAGGTGGCCCCAGCTCTGCCCAGGCAAGCTGCAGGGAGCCCTGGGCAGGGGAGGAAAGCTGAGCCATCAGGGTGAATGAACACACTCACCTCCAAGGGAGCAGCCTCCCCCCTCCTTGGCACTTCTGTGTGTGCAAAACGCTCTCAGGAATCGTCACTCTCAAAATCTGGATGAGAGTCCTTAAAAGCCTGTGTTGGGAGCTCCAGCCATGCTGCCCTGCAGACTCTGGGGCTCTGTCCTCCACACACTCAGTCTCCGCTCTGACCAAGGAAGCAGCTCTGGCCACCGTGCCTCGGGGGCAACCCAAGCACCACCCTTACCCCCCAGTGGTGGCAGCCTGACACCCCAAACCACAGGATTTAAACCAGGTCCAGAGGCAGGTGACAACAGAGGCCTGGCTGCCCCCTTGGTCCTGCAGCTCCCCGTGGGCTGTGGACATTCCAGAAAGCCAGTGGTCATGGCCCTGGGGAGGGGGGGGATGGTACAGTGGCCGCCACTAGAGGCACGTTCAAAGCTCCAGCCTGGCCTAGCCAGTGGCCAGGTCAGCGGGGCCCAGGCAAGAAACTCTGGTGTGGCCAGCACAGAGACCAGCAATAACAGAGGACCAGCAGGGGGCTTAAGGGACACAGCCTCATGTCTTTTCTTGGGAAGGCTATCACCCTGCTGGCTGAAGCTCACGGCCTCTGCAGTGGCCACAAGGCTGCCCTGGGCCTCAGCAGGCCCTGGGAGATGGTGCCCAGCAAGGCCTGTGCCCCCACCCTCACTTGGCCTCTGCTGGGCAGACTGTCAGCTAACCCCTCCTCCAGGTCTGGCTCGACCCCACACTTCTGAGGTGCCCCCGGCCATCACCTCACCCACACCCACCACCCTTCTGCTGCCCTCCCTTCCCCTCCTAGGGTTCACCCGTGACATCAGGTTTGCCCTGAGGGTCTCCTGCTGAGCAGGTGGGGGCGGTGCTGATGGGGGCCTGCGCAGCTGACCATTCTGGCTCATGAGGCTGGCACAGGGATGCCTGAAGGCTGGCACAGGGACGCCTGAAGGCTGGCTCAGGGACGCCTGAAGGCTGGCACAGGGACGCCTGAAGGCTGGCACAGGGACGCCCTCCTAAGCACCTGCAAGCGCCCTGATTCCCAAAGACCACACAGCAGGAGTGGGCAGGTGGTCCACTTCTGTGGCCCATCCCACCCAGGACTTCTAGGCAGGTACCACAAGGCAGGAAGTGAGGCCAGGACATAATACAGGGCTTGTTGGAGGCCCAGGGTCCACGGGCTGCCAAGGAGAAGTGGGTGGCCACAAAGCCACATGGCCCCCAGGGCCTGAGCCCCTGCCTGCATTCAGCAAGTGGGGGTGCACCTAAGCCTCCATATCGCCCTCACTGGCAGCCTGGTGGGAAAGAGATGGACTGCCCAACACAGGAGAGCCACCACAGATGTCCAGGTGCAGCTGTCTTCCTAGATGAATCCACTAGCTCCTCCAAGGATGTGGAAAGAAGAAAGGTTTCCACTGCCTCAGGCCCTGGCCAGGACTCTCACTGAGAATCTGGCCTGTGTGCAGGGACCACATGGCCAGGAGATGCAGGCTGCAAGGGAAGCTCAGCCTCAAAAGCTCTGCAGGAAGAGACAGGTGGGCTGGGCGGGTTCCCTGAGCAAGACCATGCCTGAGGCGGGAGGGGAGAGCAGAGGACGGTGTAGGGAGGGGCCATTGCAGGAGGGGACAGCACAGGGAGGGGACAGCACAGGGAGGGGACAATGCAGGGGTGACATGGGTGTGGGGGAATAGCACAGAAAGGGGATAGTGTAGTGGTGACAGGGGCATGTGGGAGGGGACAGCAGAGAGGGGACAGTGCAGGGGTGACAGGGGTGTGGGGAGGGGACCGTGCAGGAGTGATGGGTTTGGGGGAGGGGGGGATTTGCAGCTTGGCAAGAGGGAAGGTAGGGCTTGGGGCACCGGTGGCCAGCACACAGGGGCCTCCCTCAGGGCTCCCTTCAACCCTGGTCAGAGCCTTGGAGCTGCTTCCACCCTCCTTCCCATGTGACATGGCTGCAAGGGCTTCGGGCTTCGGGTCCCCAGAGCGGCAGCCCACCCTGGGGTATGGAGACTACAGGCAGAGGCCACCCTGGGTCCACCTGGAGGCCCCTCTGGAGACCCTGTGGTACCTAGTCTCCTCTCCCAGGACAGGCGTGGGAGGAGGGGACAGGGCCTCAGGTCAGAAGTGGGGGTGTCTCTCCAGGAACATGGACCAGCTGGCTCCTGCTTCACGAGGCTGCCCAGGCCATGGAGCAGAGGTCTCCCAGGCACAGGCACCAGGCCCCACTACTCCCATCTGCAGGAACTGGGAGCTGGGCCATGGGGGCTGACACCTCCCAGGGGCCAGTCCTACCCCAGGAGGATGCTTCCCTGCCTGTTCAAAGCTCTGCACTCCCTAGATCTTGTAAGAACTGCCCTGGCACAGCCTGACCCCATCTCCTACAGTGACAGGAGGCCACCAAACCTGCCATTCCTGCTCCCCAGGATCCTGGAAGCAGCAGCCAGCAGGGTGCAGCCCTCTGGCTGGGCCAGCACTTCTGTGCTGTGACCTGTCCTGCTGGCAAAAGGCCAGTCACTACCACAGTAGGCCAGGGCTGGCACCAGCACTGTTGCTTCATGTCCTTGCCCCTGGGTACCTGCTGCTGCTTGTGACCTGTGCCAGCTCACACCCGAGGAACCACCTGATGCACGAAGGAGAAGGTGAGGGGGGGCCTCGTTACCGGTCACCACTGTGTCCCCTGGTGGAGTGAATGTTCTCCCTAACAAGCTCCACGTCCAGCAGTAACCTCTGAACGTGACCTGGGTGGAAAATAGGACCTTTGTAGATGTATCACGTAAGATGAGGTCACCTGATGGCCCCCCTCCAACCAGTGTCACTCGCCATGGGAGGGGAGAGACTGTTTCAGGGGCAGCCCGGGGCCACCTGTGGCTGCAAAGCAGGGAGAGCCTCCCAAGGGAATGTAGCCCTGCCCACCCCCGCACTGAGAATGAGCCCCCAGCCTGTGGGGACTTATTATGGAGTCACAGAAACTCTCATGCTCTGAATCATGGGCCACCAAGCCTCTACAGGGCCCTGACGTGTGCAGACTGGCTGTGGGCTCAGGCGTCTGGGGGAAGATGGGGTCAAAGACCAAGGCTGGGAAGGGCAGGGGCAGGTGCTGAGGGGGGTGCGCCGGGCAAGGAGCACCCAAACGGCACCGTCAGACGCGAGCGGCCTCGGGACGTCAGAGCCTAGTCTCCTTCTCTGGAACAGATACAAGAAGGGTCAGGCCGCAAAGCTCGGTCTTCAGAAAGCAAAACAAGAGGCAGAGAAGACCAGACGTTCACACTTGGCCCCGAGCATCTGTGGCAAGAACGCCACCTCTGGTGTCTGCGGGCTCCCGTGAAGTCTCGCTGACCATCCCGGGCTGCGGTGGCTTCAGCTGACGCGAAAACAGCATTAAACCGCACACCAAGGCACCTCTAAACATGGGAGTTTGTTTCTCATGAACATTTCTTTTAAAAAATATATATATAATAACTTAGTTTGCATTTTACAGCATTTCCAGGTCAGGGTGTCCTTGGCTGGGACCTGTGCCCCGGGCCTGCACTCCACAGCATGGCCGACCCCAAGGCTGGAGCACACACAGCCCCAGTGGCAGGACACAGGACAGGTAGCAGCACCCACAGTCACTCCATGCCAATTTCACAGGGGTTCAGGCCCCTCTCTTCTGCATCCCTATACGTCCTTCGGAAGTCACTGAAGCGTGGGGCACAGCCCAGCTGGGCCTCCCCGAAGTGCATGTGGCCAGTAAAGAGGAAGTCCCCAAGCCCTGGCCGCACACCACACTCCAGCAGCGTCAGGATGCGGCCCTGCCAGTGGCCATGGCCCTCAGGCGCTGGCTGGAAGACCCTGCTCTTCTGCCGATAGAGCCTGCTCACCCGCAGATGGATGACTGACTCCTGCCGCTCTGGCACGTGGGTGACGTCCTGGATGGAGCCTCGGACGACTGTGGAGGAAGGAGACACAGGTCAGCGGGTCCAGTAGCACTGTAGCTGAGGTCAAGCACACAGCAGGCGCTACCCCACACATGCCCCTGACTGTGATGGGCATCAGAACCAGAGCTATACCTGAACCCTGCCATTTAGAAATCCCTTAAAGAGCTCAAGTGTAGTGGTACAAAGTTGCCAGGGGCTGTCCCTGATGCTGGCACTGTGAGACAAAGGTGCTCTTTCTGCTGCGGGCCTGACAAGCACACATACATGCTCTGCAAGGGGGCACATCAGGGCAGTATGGGGGCTGTACCAGGGCCCCTGTCAGCCTGCCCAGCCCCAATCCTGGTCCTGGAGAGCAGGGCAGTGACATGATCAGAGCTCAGGGAGGGGGCCCGGGGACAGGGCCAGCTGGGCTGGCTTCACGTGCCTACCACCACAGCAGCTGGCCAGCAAGCACCACACCGGGGACCCAGCCCCTGACACCACATGCAAGGGGCCTGCATCCCTCAGACCACAGCCCTGGGCCCTCCAGGGCCCAGGAGCCCCAGCTATCGGGGAACTCGAATGAAGAACAGATGGGGCTTGGAGGTGGTGGCCATCACAGGGTCAGGCTGCCCATTGCATGGTATTCAGAGAACACTGCAAGAGCCCCTGGGAACTGCAGGACTTCAGAGTCCCCAGGGAGCAGTGAGCTCAGGTACAGAACAGGACGATGATTGACAGTCACCCAGAACGTCCACCCCAGCTCTCAGTGTGGGTGTGCATGTGAGTACACGTGAGGGTGAAAGTATGCACACGTGTGTGAAGTCTTCATGCTGTGGGCACAGAAGAGCACCTATTCCACGACCCCCGGGGAAACCATATCCAGACGCTTCTGCAGATCCAAGAGGGAGCACTGCCCACAGGGGACCAAGCATAGGAGACCTGAGAGGACACACTCACCAAAGTCACTAGTGCAGACAGCCAGGAGCACTTCGGTGTCACTGCATGGGCGGCACGGGGCTGAGGGGAGAGAACAGATCAGCATACAGCCTGGCAGGCCCTGGCCCCTGCCCTCTGTGGCCAGAAATTCTGGTGAGCCACAGGCCCTCCCCAGCTCCAACACGTCAGAGGCAGATGCCCGGCTGCGCATGACGGCACACCTTGCCATCAGACTCACCTCGCCAGACATGTCAATCTTGTGTAGAACCAGGGCGTGTGCCAACTGCCATGTGACCACTCTCATGCACCCACCACAAATGCAAAGCTGACCCAAGCCAAGCTGAGCCCCTGCCCCTGGGCATCCACACCCACCCCAGCCTCCACAGCATACCCCAAAACACCAGGGTGCCTCACGAGCAGGTACCTCCTTGCAGCATGGAGATACCCCTTCCCTAGACCAAAGGGCTGGGCCAGTCCCCCAGGACCCAGACGCTGACCAGAAAGACTGACGAGGCCCAGGATCTACAAAGGTGACGATGAGGTAGGGCAGGAGGCAGCACCTGTGCAGGCACAAGGCCTGGGGTGGGGGCCATCAGCTCAGCCCCTTCACCAGACCCCACCTGGTCCCTGGGACAAAGGTGCAAACACCTTTTAAACTGAGCCAAGCCCACAGGACCCCCACGGCCCCAGAATCCTGGGGCCTCGCTCCCTCCAAGAACCTAGAGGCTACAGCCTCCTCAGGCTCAGCCTCCCTGCCAAACAACTTACGCAACACACTTCCAGGGTGGCCTGCACCCTGCCCTTTGCCCCAGTTCCCCAAACGTCAAACAGAAACTCGGGGCCAGCCCCAGCAATCCTGGGCGTCCACACACACACTCCAGTGTGGAGGTGTGAGACCTCGGCGAGAGGATTCCCCTCCACCAGTCTGCACTATGAGGCTGGGGAACCCTGGGCCCTGGGGAAGCTCAGGTCCATGCACACCTGGTATCACCCTGTCCACCTGGAGCTGAGCCAGGCTGAGCCACCACCTGACTAGAGGCTGCACCGACCCCCTCCAGCCAGTGTCTCCCAGGGATGGGCAGCAAACGTCAGCTCTTGACGACTGGCCAAGCACTCTCAGGCCAGCAAGAGTGCAGAGGGGCCTTCTGGAACCAGAGGGTACATGGAGCCTTGGAGTCACGTCATCAGATGGGAGGCAAGGCTGGCGGGCATGGGGAGGGAGAGTCTGAAGCACTGGCCTCCCTGCCCTGTGCCAACAGCATGGGCTGGGCACCTCCAAGGCTCCGCAGCCACTAACTCCCCAGCCCACCCATCACCTGTAGCACTTTTGCTTCTACTGAGTTATCAGGAAAAGCAGAACCACAAACAAGAACCACCTGCTGGTGCCTCCCCCCTGCCCAGCCCTTCAAAGGATGGGCATCTTCCCACCACACCCCCGAACTCCAGAGCCTTCTGGGAGCTCCAGAACCTGGGATGCCTACCCCTCAGATGTCCACCCCATTCCCAGCCAGCCGAGGGCACCTGTGGCGTTCCCTCGGCCCTCACTGCTGCCCCCTGGGGCTCGGCCCAGGCAGCCCCTGACAAACACCTTGTGCTGCAGAGGAGCTGACAGGCCCTGGCCACACACGGACACAGGACCTCAGACCTGTGCCTTCAGTGTCACCAAGTCTACACACATCCCTCTGCCCATGAGTCACTCACCTGTGACCTCCACCAACAGCTAGGGGAAAAGCTGGGAGACCCTCCCCTCACTGGAGCTGCTCTGGCTCACACCCAGCCTCCAGCAGCAGGTGTAGGGACCCCAAGGGCAGTCATTGTCCCCAGACCCACCCAGAGCCATGGTTGGCTGAGGTCACAAACCCCACCCTGGAAGCATCTGCTTCTCACTCTGAGCTTTGCAGAGTGCAGTTCAACTTCATGGAAAACACAGTGTGGCCTCCGAGGACAGAGATCTGGAAACAGCTATCGGTCAGAGTCGGGCTCAGGAAGGCCCTGAAACGTGCTCATAGACCCAGCCCAAGCTTCTGAGAGAACATGGGTGTGGATGCTTTGGAGATGCTCAGGAGTACCTCAACTGAACCAGAGGAGGAGGGAAGAGCATCAGGCAGGACAGGGACACCTGGGACACCAGGGACACCAGCAGGCCGGCAGGTGCTGTGGGGGACAGCAGAGGGTGAGGGCAGGAGCCGCTGGCTCAGGGGAGAGTCCTGGACAAGTGGAGCTGGCGGCTAGCAGGCAGGACTGCTCCCCAGGACAGCGGCCGTGCGTGCCCAGGTCCAGACGGAGCCTTCAGGAGAAAACACGGGGGGATCCAGGACAGCCGATGACAGTGAGCATGGCCTTCAACCAGGTGAACAAGGTGTGCCCAGGGTGTGGACAGGGTATGGGGAGGACCCGGAGGACTGAGGCTGAGGTTGAGATCAGCCAGCACCTCTAGGACACAAGGAGGACCCTGGGTGGAGGCCTCACCTGTCCCTCCAGCTCGAGTCCCTCCTTCCCCTCTCTTCCTGGTGAAGAAGCAGGTGGGGGCCATGCCCTGCCCCCAGGCCAGGAACCAGTTAAGATGAAAAGTGACCTCAGGGTCATCAGTGGCCCGAGGAAGCCACTGAGGCCAGAGAGACAGGAGCTTCAGAAAAAAATGAGCCATCTCTTCTGTTTCCAGGAAGCAATGAGATATCTTTTCCACCTCCAGACTTTGCTGGCCATGCACACACCCATCAAGGCACCCCCAGACTCTAAAGCTCCTGGGGAGCCTCAGCAGTGGAGGTTCAGGCAAGTCAGGCTGGTGACTCAGGCTTAGCAAGCAGGACAGGCTTTCAAGGGGGTGGGAAGCTGAGCCGGAGGCTCTAGGCCTGACCCCTGAACCGCCTGGGCAGTGACTTCCACACCCAAGACCAGCATCAGTGTCCTGCACCTCCTCCCTGGACACCTGCCCTGGGCCTCTCCAGAGCCCCAACTCCCACAGCACAAGCTGGTGGAGCCTGCCAGCACCGGATATGTCACCTTGAGATCTGTTACCTGGAGATCCATCAATGTCACCCGCTGCACCTATTCCTTCGAACCAGATGGCACCCCAACCCTCACCGGCCAACCCCTCGGCCCCATCCAGAGTGATGATTGTTTCCCCAGGCGGCTGGGCCCTGGAGGGCAGCCCCAGTCAGCTCCTGCCCATCCCTTGGCCTGGAGGTATACTGGAAAACAGCCCTGTGGCCGTCTACACCTCTGTATCCTGTCCGATTCCCTGTGTCAGAGGTGGTGCTGCTGCTCAAGCTCTGGCAAACCCCACGAAGGTGGAGGGCACGGGGTGAGCAGGTGCTGGGACTGGGTTCACCTGCTGCCTGACCCTGTCCTACACCCCTGGAGGAGTGTCCCCCAGGGCTAGAGTCATCTGCTGCCTGACCCCCGTTCTATATCCTTAGAGGGATGTCCCCTGGAGCAAGCATCATCCAATACCTGACCCCCATACTACATCCCTGGAGGAGTGTGCCCCAGGGCTGAGGTCATCC